TACTAACCGACCTGGCCAATGCACCACTTTCCATATACATATGCCTTAGATTCCTTCCGAACCTTATTAGCTCACTAGATTTATATATTTCCCACCTTCTGATTGAGTGAGATTGCTAGATTCGCTTTACTTTTTGAGAAATGAGCGTTTCCGTTCTCCTTGGCCCTACTTGCACTATAAGTGCGAAATGCCGGCCAGACTGGCCGTTGCACCATTTTCTCTACACTTGAGCGTTAGTTCCCTTTCAAACCCTTACGTTCACTAGATGAATTTATTTCCTACCTTCTATTTGAGTGAGACCACTAGATTCCGTGTACTATGCGAGATCTGAGCGCTTTCGTTCTCATTGGCATTTGCACTCTAAGTTCCCATACTGACCGACCTGGCCAATGCACCACTTTCCATATACATATGCATTAGATTCCTTCCGAACCTTATAAGCTCACTAAATTTATATATTTCCCACCTTCTGATCGAGTGAGACCGTTAGATTCCCTCTACTTTTTGAGAAACGAGCGTTTCCGTTCTCCCTGGCCCCACCTGCACTATGAGTGCGAAATGCCGGCCAGACAGGCTCATGCACCATTTTCTCTACACATGTGCGTTAGTTACCTTTCAAACCTTTACGTTCACTAGATGAATATATTTCCTACTTTCTATTTGAGTGAGACCACTTGATTCCGTGTACTATGCGAGATCTGAGCGCTTCCGTTCTCCCTGGCATTTGCATTTTAAGTTCCGATACTGACTGACCTGGCCAATGCACCATTTTCTCTATACATGTGCGATAAATACATTTCAAACCTGTTTAGCTGACTAGATTTATATATTTCCCACCTTCTGATCGAGTGAGACCGTTAGATTCCCTCTACTTTTTGAGAAATGAGCGTTTCCGTTCTCCCTGGCCCCACCTGCACTATGAGTGCGAAATGCCGGCCAGACTGGCCGATGCACCATTTTCTCTACACATGTGCATTAGTTACCTTTCAAACCCTTACGTTCACTAGATGAATATATTTCCTACCTTATATTTGAGTGAGACCACTAGATTCCGTGTATTATGCGAGATATGAGCGGTTCCGTTCTCCCAGGCATTTGCACTCTAAGTTCGCATACTGACCTACCTGGCCAATGCACCACTTTCCATATACATATGCATAAGATTCCTTCGGAATCTTATAAGCTCACTAGATTTATATATTTCCCACCTTCTGATCGAGTGAGACCGCTAGATTCCCTTTACTTTTTGAGAAATGAGCGTTTCCGTTCTCCTTGGCCCTACTTGCACTATAAGTGCGAAATGCCGGCCAGACTGGCCGATGCACCATTTTCTCTACACATGTGAGTTAGTTACCTTTCAAACCCTTACGTTCACTAGATGAATTTATTTCCTACCTTCTATTTGAGTGAGACCACTAGATTCCGTGTACTATGCGAGATCTGAGCGCTTCTGTTCTCCCAGGCATTTGCACTCTAAGTTCCCATACTGACCGACCTGGCCAATGCACCATTTTCCATATACATATGCATTAGATTCCTTTCGAACCTTATTAGCTCACTAGATTTATATATTTCCCACCTTCTGATCGAGTGAGACCGCTAGATTCCCTTTACTTTTTGAGAAATGAGCGTTTCCGTTCTCCTTGGCCCTACTTGCCCCATAAGTGCGAAATGCCGGCCAGACTGGCCGATGCACCATTTTCCATATACATATGCATTAGATTCCTTTCGAACCTTATTAGCTCACTAGATTTTTATATTTCCCACCTTCTGATCGAGTGAGACCGCTAGATTCCCTTTACTTTTTGAGAAATGAGCGTTTCCGTTCTCCTTGGCCCTACTTGCCCCATAAGTGCGAAATGCCGGCCAGACTGGCCGATGCACCATTTTCTCTACACATGTGCGTTAGTTACCTTTCAAACCCTTACGTTCACTAGATGAATTTATTTCCTACCTTCTATTTGAGTGAGACCACTAGATTCCGTGTACTATGCGAGATCTGAGCGCTTCCGTTCTCCCTGGCATTTGCACTCTAAGTTCCCATACTGACCGACCTGGCCAATGCACCATTTTCTATATACATATGCATAAGATTCCTTTCGAACCTTATTAGCTCACTAGATTTATATATTTCCCACCTTCTGATCGAGTGAGACCGCTAGATTCCCTTTACTTTTTGAGAAATGAGCGGTTCCGTTCTCCTTGGCCCTAGTTGCACTATAAGTGCGAAATACCGGCCAGACTGGCCGATGCACCATTTTCTCTACACATGTGCGTTAGTTACCTTCAAACCCTTACGTTCACTTTATGAATTTATTTCCTACCTTCTATTTGAGTGAAACCACTAGATTCCGTGTATTATGCGAGATCTCAGCAGTTCCGTTCTCCCAGGCATTTGCACTCTAAGTTCCCATACTGACCGACCTGGCCAATGCACCATTTTCCATATACATATGCATTAGGTTCCTTTCGAACCTTATTACCTCACTAGATTTATATATTTTCCACCTTTTGATCGAGTGAGACTGCTAGATTGGCTCTATTTTTTGAGAAATGAGCTTTTCCGTTCTCCTTGGCCCTAGTTGCACTATAAGTGCGAAATGCGGCCAGACTGGCCGATGCACCATTTTCTCTACACATGTGCGTTAGTTACCTTTCAAACTCTTACGTTCACTAGATGAATATATTTCCTACTTTCTATTTGAGTGAGACCACTTGATTCCATGTACTATGCGAGATCTGAGCGCTTCCGTCTCCTTGGCATTTGCATTTTAAGTTCCGATACTGACCGACCTGGCCAATGCACCATTTTCTCTATACATGTGCGTTGAATACATTTCAAACCTTTTTAGCTGACTAGATTTATATATTTCCCACCTTCTGATCGAGTGAGACCGTTAGATTCCCTCTACTTTTTTAGAAACGAGCGTTTCCGTTCTCCCTGGCCCCACCTGCACTATGAGTGCGAAATGCTGGCCAGACTGTCCGATGCACCATTTTCTCTACACATGTGCGTTAGTTACCTTTCAAATCCTTACGTTCACTAGATGAATTTATTTCCTACCTTGTATTTGAGTGAGACCACTAGATTCCGTATACTATGCAAGATCTGAGCGCTTCCGTTCTCCCTGGCATTTGCACTCTAAGTTCCCATACTGACCGACCTGGCCAATGCACCACTTTCCATATACATATGCATTAGATTCCTTTCGAACCTTATTAGCTCACTAGATTTATATATTTCCCACCTTCTGATCGAGTGAGGCCGCTAGATTCCCTCTACTTTTTGAGAAATGAGCGTTTCCGTTCTCCTTGGCCCTAGTTGCACCATAAGTGCGAAATGCCGGCCAGACTGGCCGATGCACCATTTTATATACACATGTGCGTTACTTACCTTTCAAACCCTTACGTTCACTAGATGAATTTATTTCCTACCTTCTATTTGAGTGAGACCACTAGATTCCGTGTACTATGCGAGATCTGAGCGCTTCCGTTCTCCCTGGCATTTGCACTCTAAGTTCCCATACTGACCGACCTGGCCAATGCACCATTTTCCATATACATATGCATTAGATTCCTTTCGAACCTTATTAGCTCACTAGATTTATATATTTCCCACCTTCTGATCGAGTGAGACCGCTAGATTCCCTCTACTTTTTGAGAAATGAGCGTTTCCGTTCTCCTTGGCCCTAGTTGCACTATAAGTGCGAAATGCCGGCCAGACTGGCCGATGCACAATTTTCTCTACACATGTGCGTTAGTTACCTTTCAAACCCCTACGTTCACTAGATGAATTTATTTCCTACCTTCTTTTTCAGTGAGACCACTAGATTCCGTGTACTATGCGAGATCTGAGCGCTTCTGTTCTCCCTGGCATTTGCACTCTAAGTTCCCATACTGACCGTGTCAAACATTATATATGTTATGCTTGTGTAGGCTACAGTGGGTTAGCCTATAGGGGGTACACAATTCTAGGGTTTCCTACTTGTACTCATTTCACTGCTAGTTCATTCATTCCTGTTCGCTTATTCTCACATGGTATAGAGCGAGTCCTTCCTAAGGACCGTTTTTTTAGGGCCCACCGAAGCGCGCCCCGAGGCGCGCATTTTTTTTCGCGACCCTTCAGGTCGCCATTGCTCTCGCGGCCCCGCTGTCCCTTTGACGCGGCCCCGCCACCCCTGCTTGACGCGGCCCCGCCGCCTCCTCTGCAGTGGCCCCGCCGCCTCCTCTGACGCGGCCCTGCCGCGCGCTAATCGCGGCCCCGCCGCCGGCTCTGACGCGGCCCCGCCGCCGGCTCTGACGTGGCCCCGCCGCCCGCTGATCGCGGCCCGCCGCCGGCCCTGACGCGTCCCCGCCATCGGCTCTGACGCGGCCCCGCCGCCGGCTACAACGCGGCCGCCGCCGCCCGCCTCGATGAGGCCCCGCCGCCGGCTCTGACGCGGCCCCGCCGCCGCCTCCTGATCGCGGCCCCGCCCGGCTCTCTCACGGCCTCGCCGCCGGCCCTGACGCGGCCCCGCCCCGGCTCTCACGCGGCCCCGCCGCCGGCTCTCTTGCGGCCCCCCGCCGCCGGCTCTCTTGCGGCCCCGCCCCGGCTCTCTTACGGCCCCTGCCGCCGGCCCTGACGAGGCCCTGCCGCCGGCTCTGACGCGGCCCCGCCCCGGTTCTTTCAACGCGGCCCTGCCGCCCCACCTGCAGCAGTCGTGGAGCCTTGCAGCCGAGGTCTGGTTAGACGACCTGCAGCTATTCTTACAGTGCGACAGGGCTGACGGCCTTTCTCTCTTGACCTCACCTCTGGCGCCTCTCGTGCTCCTGCTGCTGATGCTGATCCCACTGTCCGCTCTCAGTGGGCCACCCGCGATGCTGCTGCACGTCTTGCTGTGCGTCGCCACCTCCCTACCTCTGATCGTGCGCACTTTAGTCAGTACAAGAGTGCTCAGACCTTGTACGACGCTGTAGTTGCGCGCTACTCCTCCCCTGCCACTGCTGCACTGAGCCGTCTCATGCTTCCCTACCTCTTTCCTGACCTCTCTGCCTTTCCCACTGTCGCTGACCTCATTACGCACCTCCGCACTAGTGACACTCGCTACCGCGCCGCCCTTCCTGCTGAGTTCTGCGCTAAGAACCCACCCCCCATGTACATCGCTCTCTACTACGTAGTCGCGCGCCTCCCTGACTCCCTTCGCGTCGTCAGGGACCACTTTCTCGCAGTCTGTCCCACCACCCTCACCGTCGACCTCCTCGAGAAGGCCCTCCTCGCAGCGGAGAAGAGCATAGTCGCTGTAGGTGCTTCTCGTGGTGACCCTCGCACCCCCATCTTTGAGGGTGCTCTCCTCCCCCCTGCTGCCCTCTGTTGCCTCTGCTGCTGCTTGCCGACCTGCTTGGTCTTGAGTCGGTCGGCGCGGCGTCTGCCCCTAGTGGGAGACGTCGCTCCAGCAAGGGCAAGGGGGGCAAGGGCGCGGGTGGAGCTGGAGGGGGCGGTGGCGGTGGCGGCGGTGGCGGCGGAGGAGTGGGGTGGCGGCGGGACTAGTGGCGGGGGTGGTGGTGGTGGTGGCAGCAGCGGCGGAGACGGTGGTGGTGGTGCCAGCGGTGGTGGTGGAGGCAGCGGCGGAGGTGGAGGCGGCGGAGGTGGAGGCGGTGGAGGCGGCAGCGGAGGAGGCGGTGGTGGTGGAGGAGGTGGAGCTGGTCGGGGTGGTACCCAGCAGCGTAGCGGCGGTGGTGGTCGGCCAGCGCTCGCAGCGGCAGCAGCAGCAGCGCTCGCGGGACATCCCTCCGCCTCAGCAGCTTCGTGAGTGGTACGCTGGGCGTCAGAGGGTGGGGGTAGTGGTCCCTGCACCTACGTTCTTCGTTCCGGCGACCGCGCGGGTGAGCAGTGTGGGGGTGCCCACGCCGCCCAGCGCTGCTTTGGCCGCCTGACGGACGCTTGGCGTCAGCAGTTCCCTGGGGCTAGTGAGATCCCTCGCTGGGATGAGCTTCTTAGGGCTGGTGTAGCGATCTTTGATCTTGATTTTGATGCTATCCTTGCTGCTATGTATGCTTGTGACTATAGTGAGGAGAATGAGGGTTACCGGTGTTTCCAGCCCGACCCGGGCATTGGTACTGCTGCTGCGCTAGGTGCTTGTGAGGCTGCTGCTCTAGGTGCCAGTGCGTCTGCGCTCTCAGGTACTGGTGAGACTGCGCTCTCAGGTACTGCGTCGTCCTCGTCCTCCCTCCACTTTCACACTTGACTCCGGGGCTTCTCGCTCCTTCTTTCGAGACCGCAACTACCCCTTACGCCGCTCGGCCGGCCGGTTGCAGTCTCCCTTGCTGACCCCTCTGGGGGTCCTGTCCTGTCTCACTTCTCCACTGTCCTCCGTGTCCGGCTGCCCCTTCGGGCACCCTGTCTGGTCTCTACCTTCCCTCGTTCTCTACGAACTTGGGTGAGTGGCGCGGACCTGCAGGATGTGGGGTTCCACCAGTTCACTCCTGCGAGTCAGCGGGTGACCCACTGCACGGAGGCACGCACAGGCCGACACCTGGCCACGTTCTCGCGTCGGCCGGGGTCGAGTCTCTACACCCTGACCGTTGAGTCTCCTCCTGTCCCTGCGTCTGGTCAGGTGGCTGCGTCAGGTCAGGTGCTTGCTGCTGCGTCCCGGTCAGGTCCTGAGTCTGCCCCCTGTTCTTGTCGCCTCCTGTCTCACGAGACTCTCCTGTGGCACCACCGTCGTGGCCACCCCTCCTTGACCCCGTCTTCGGAGCATGGCTTCCCGTGTCCCTTGTCTCTGGTCTTCCCAGTCTCTCCCTCCTCTCCCCTCCGGGCCAGGACCCTTCATGTATCCCCTGTGTCGAGGGTCGCCTCCGGGCTACTCCTCACTCTTGCACTCCCCCCGACAGAGGCTCCCCTGCAGACGCTTCACATGGATGAGTGGGGCCCAGCCCCCGTCCGTGGGCAGGGTTACGAGCGCTACTTCCTGTTGGTGGTTGAGGACTACTCGCGTTACACCACAGTCCTCCCCTTGCGCAGCAATGGGTGCGGTCACTGAGGTGCTGATCGACTGGATCCGCGAGGCTCGTCTCCAGCTCAGGAAGAGCTTCGGCTCGGACTTTCCTGTTCTGCGTCTGCACTCGGACAGAGGCGGAGAGTTTCTCTTCTCGCCTTCTGCGAGACTACTGTCGTGCACGGGGGATCCGCCAGACCCTTCACGCTTCCGGACTCACCACAGCAAAATGGGATTGCTGAGCGCGCATTGGCATGGTCATGGATGTCGCTCGTACGTCCATGATGCATGCGGCTGCCCCCATTTTCTGTGGCCGTTTGCGGTGAGGTACGCGGCGCATCAGCTCAACCTTCACCCCCGGGTCTCTCGGTCTGCGATGTCCCCAGCCTTGCTGTGGTACGGGGAAGGTTGGCGATGCGTCTGTGTTCCGTCTCTTCCCCTACCGCACTCCTTCCCTCCCCCCTCCCCCGGACTTCCTTGTGCGGTTCCCCCCCGGTAGACCCCCTCCCCCCTCAGGTTCCTGCCCCCTCAGGTGTGTCCCAGGTAGACGCCGTTGAACCCGGTCCGAGGTTATTGGTGACTCTGGTGCTGCTGCGGGTGCTGAGCCTGGGGTGCTGACTCTGGGGGTGCTGAGCCTGGGGGTGCTACTGCTGGGGGGTGCTGGGCCTGAGGGTGATACTTGCGGAGGGTGCGGAGCCCCTGGGGTGCTGAGCCGGGGGGTGCTGTGCCTGGAGGTGCTGGTCTAGGGGTGCTGGTCGGGAGCTGCTGAGCCTGGGGGTACTGAGCTGGGAGCTGCTGAGCCTGGGG